ATCAAAATTACAATATGAAGAAAGAGGCTGTGTGTGCGTTGGTTGTGGTGTGGAAGCAGCAGGGTGCTGCCCTGCTTCAAAAAAATAACAAATCTAGTGGTTACAGTACAAAAAAAAAAAACTCTGATCTTCTTTCTTCCTCCCTTTTCCTGGCTCACTCCACGATACTTCATTATGTATGCCTCTGTGCTTGAACAAGATTAATATTTCCCACAGAATGAGTTTGGCATCTCAAAGCTTCCCACCGCCAGCTAACAAATACACACAAACACGCACACATGCTGTACCATCACACCCAGCTACGACGCACAAGCACCTACGTTGTGCGCTGCGCATGTTTCGAGGATACAAACCCACCAGCGCTCCTCCGGTGGCACATACTTAATGCTGTCTTCAGTGAGCTGACAGTGGGATGTTAAGCATCGAGCGATAATGTAAAAAGACACCAGCTTGTGTAAGACTCAGCTGAGATTAACCTGACAACTGTCAGCTCCTGCATAAGATCTGGCTGTGAAAAGAGAGTGAGTGTATAAATAAATCTGATGACTGTGGGGCTAATCTGATGTGTGCATGTGTGCATGTGTGTGTTTGCGATGCCTTTTGTACGGGTGGATAATAGCGCAACCTAATCTAAAAGTGAGTGTGGTGTAATCCTGTTGCAACTTCAACTACAAGATAGGTTCACAAACATATAAAGTAAACAACAAATAATAAACCAGGGGTGGATTGCACGCTGGAAATATATACAGGGAAGGGAGAATAAGTAGGGATGCTGGTGAAGGATACTGCAGCTATTCCCAAACTCAGGAGTCCCTCCTTACCGTTCGGAGCTACACGGACAAAAAGAAACACACACACATACACACACACACCTGCCAAGCTTGGATAAAGAAGGGATTAAAGTATGTCAGAATAGGAAACGGGAGAGAGCGGCATGAATCATTGTTTCCCTGAGAGGACTGGTGCTCCGATGGCTGGAGACGTATAGATGCACCAAAAATACACACGAGTGCACACATATGGACAAAACTGAGCTAATCATTGATTTTCCTGCAGCACAACATGAGTAGAAGCTCACCTACCTCAGCTTCTGTGTTGTGTTTTTAACATGTTTGTCTGAAATGCTGACATGGAAGGACACTTTCATTCCACACGGCGGTGACCGAACCCCTTTCATTTTCTTTATGTCTGCATAAATATGATCTAAAACATCATCATATTTTCACACAAGTACTAAAAGCAGATTAATAGAAGCCATTCAACTCTCTGAACCCCGAGCAGTTTCTGGGCGTTTCATTTTTTTATTTGCTCCTGTCACATTTTTACTCACTGTGGGCTCATTTTTCACTGCAACATAAAGTCCTGCAGCTCTGTGGAAGCAGCACAACCACGGAGAAGGAGGGAGAACTCAAAAATGTCTACTGTGCAGTAAAAGAATGCTTTAAGGCCGTAAAGCATTAAAAAAAAAAAAAGAAAAAAGAAAAGGACACACTGAAGTTACATTTCTTTGATTATCTATTTTACAACAGTTGAGGGGGGAAAAAATAGCATCAGCATGTACGACATTCTTCCAAATGTCTACAGGTGTTACTAATACTGGATATTTTACCGCTTATAATCTTGATTGGTTTCCATGTTACTCTTCGATTTGCTTTGTAGAAACACTGCCTGCAGTTCAACCTTGT